GGGAGTGGTGCTCCCAGTCTGTGAGTGGGGAGGGGTGGTGCTCCCAGTCTGTGAGCAGGGACTGGGGTGGGGTGTGTGTGCTCCCAGTCTGTGAGCGAGGGAGGGGGTGGTAATGCTCCCAGTCTGTGATGTGAGTGCAGGCCCACATGAGGGAGTGCTCCCTGTCTAAGTGCAAGAGGTGCTCCCTTAGTGAGTCAGGCCAGGTCTATTGGGGACCCTGGCCCTGAAGCAGCATCTGTTCTGATAGGACAGGGTCTGGGATGGGGAGGGTCTGGGAGGAATCCAGGGTCAGGCTGCCCCAACAGCTGTCAGCTCAGCTTCCTCTCAGGGCTTGGATAGGACTCCCACAGGCAGGGGACTTGGACTGGGGTGAGTTGGGTGGTGGGCAGGAGGTGAAGGCCCTTGGGGCTGAGCTTGTCTCTGAGCAGCTCTAGTGAGACGTGATCCCAGCCCAGCCGAAGCCAGGGGTGAGGACCAGCAGTGGATAGTCTTTCTGGGAGAGACTCCCCCCGCCCCCCGCCTCCCAGCACTCTGCCCTCAGAGATAAGGGTCTAAACCTCCCCCGACACTATCCAGTCCAGTCCACTCAGGGCCCAGAAAGGACAGCCACATCCCCAGTCCTCACAGCTTCTCCCAGAGCTGGCATCTCCCACCCCTCCCTGCTGCCTTAGTAAGGCTCCCAGGAAGTCCCTCGCATGCACCCCTGCTCGAGGGGACTTGGCCCAGGTCCTGAGAGCCTGCTTCAAGGAAGGGCCCAGGAGCAGAGCCTGGACAGCAGACGTGTGGCCTGTCCTGGCTGTGTGGCCCAGAGACCTTGTCAACTGCCTGCCCCGCCTCGTGGGGCCGGACCTCCCACCTCGGGCACCCTTGGTCACTGGCTGTGGGTCCCCAGGAGAAGTCTGCTCCCTGCACCCGGCCTGAGGGCAGAGCTCCAGCAGCTCACAACGGCGTCTGTCTGCCGGCAGGAGAATGAGTACCTGCAGGACTGCCTGGACGCCATCCAGCAGGACTTTGTGATCTTCAACCGGGAAAAGTGAGTGCGAGGGCATCCACAGGCCAGAGGGCCAGAGCGGTTGGTCAGCTGGGGCTGCCCAGGGCTTGTGGGAAGAGCTCCTGGGAAATTTACCTTCTAAACTGAGGCAGGTGGCTGGGATCACTGGGTTCCGGGCAATGACCTCCTGTCCATTGTCAGTATTCCAGGCTAGCTACCACTCACCCACCCACCCTCAGTTACCCACTCACCTACCCCACTCGCTCACCTACCTCACCTACTCACTCACCCACCCCGCTCACTCATCCACTCACCCACCCACCCACTCACTCACCTACTCACTCACTCACCCACCCTGCTCACTCATTTACCCACTCACTCACTCACTCACCCACCCACTCACTCACCCTACTCACTCACCCACTCACTCACCCACCCTGCTCACTCATTTACCCACTCACTCACCTACTCACTCACTCACTCACCCACCCCGCTCACTCATTTACCCACTTACTCCCCTAACCACCCATTCACTCACCTACCCACCCACTCAGCTCCCTGCCTACCTGGCAAGGAAGGTCAGAGCTTGCCTGCAGGGTGATGAGAGGCCCACAAGCCCCTGCTGTGCCTGGGCTGTAGAGGGAGGAGGCCTCCTCCTGTTGGGGAAGGGCTTCCTGGAGGAGGGAGCCCTGAGGACTGGCCTGAGTGTACTACCTGTGACTGTGGCAGAGCCACGTGTGGACACGGGCCGCTGCCAGGGTGGGCGTACTTGGCCTGGTGGGAGCGCAGAGCTGTATCTGTGCCATCAGCTGAGTGCTGTCCTGCCCTGGCTGACCTTCAGCCCCTGCCTGTCCTGGAGTGAGGTCGGGGCAGGGAGGTCTGTGGGCACCTGTGGGTGACCTCTGTGAGCCCCCGTCAGTCTGTGGGAAGCAGTTTTAGGGGTGGTGACCAGGCCTTGGACCCCTCTCTTTGCCCCACCCCTGCAGGCTGAAGAGGAGCCGGGACCCTATGGCTGAACCCCGCGAGGAGCAGGAGCCCCGGGAGGATGGCGAGGCAGCAGGGTCCACCCTGCCCATGTGCGGTCCCCTCTGCCCCTCAGCGGGGAGCAGCTAGGTGCCTGGCAGGGGTGGACTCTTGGGACAGAGCCTCTGTGGCCACCAGGACAGGGTGGTGGGAGAGCAGGCCGAAGGGGCCACAAGCACCATCACGCCTCTGAAGCGGCTGCCTGGCTCTTGAGCCTGGGACCTTCTCAGGACAGCGGCCAGAGGGGCAGGTGCTGCTGGTGAAGGGGCCGAGCCCAGGGCAGGTGCCACCTGGACCACTGCCCAGGCCTCTTCGGGGGGCTGCAGTGGGTGACCGGACTGTCAGAGCACCGAGCCCAAGCACCGGGCGGCCCAAGCTGTGGGCCTGGTCCCGGTGGGTTCATCAGGGGTGGGGGTGGGAGGAAGAGAATGTTTTATAGCGACACCCCCCCACTCCCCGCAGCTTCTGCTGTCCCTGTGGTTTTCACTTCAGAATTACACAACTGTCCAGTGTTCTGCAATGAGTGGGTCTGTCTGCCTGCTTGCCTGCCAGGCGTGAGGGCTTGAGGCCTGGGGGCAGGGCAGGGAGGACGCCCACCTGTCAATTGCTCATGGGTTTGATGGCGCAGCCCCTCTTCTCGCAAGGTAGGGGCACCCTGGTGCAGAGAGCACCCAGGATAAATGTCTGCTGGGTGGGAGGCGAAACAGGGGCAGCAAGCCATGGACAGCTGTTTAACTGAGGCAACACCTCCCTTTCCGTGCTCACCTTTGTCCCGCTATTGGTTGGAGCCCCAGCATTGACCCAAGGACATAGTACTGACCATCTCTTGCACAGCTGGGTGACACGCTGGGAAGGGACATGGGGCCTTTGTGGTCACCCTCCTACCCAGCGCTGGGCAGAGCCGGATGCAGGAAGGGCACTGCACGCATCTCTGAGTGACCCACAGATGAACTGATGGCACGTGAACTAATGAGCAGTCAAACAGTGAACAAAGGACACCACTGCCACCTGGCCGACGCAGCCCCCTGGGGCGAGGGCCGTTCTTCCCACTGCCCTCCCCGGGAACACCGCTCTGGAACCGTCTGCCAAAGTTCCCGAGCCCACCATCACCTGGCCTGAGACAGCCAGTGGGTCCCACAGGCAAGCCCAGCCTCACCACTCACTGCCCGGCCCCGTCGCCTCCCTGAGTGCCCGTCCCGGGCTGATGCCAGGTGGGTAGAGCTGGCATGGAGCTCTCTGGGGACACCCAGCTGCCCTCGGCTGGTCAGCTGGCACCTGCATACGTGCAGGCGAGGGGCTGTCTGCAGTCCAGATCTCTTCTCGCACTCAGCTCCCGAGCAGGCTGGCTTCGGCTCCCCAGCCTGCGCCCAGCAAGCTGCTCCGCCCACCTCAGACCCTCCACACTGCCCAGGTGGGCTCACGCTGGGTTACACACAGAACCCGAGTCTGGATTGCGACTTGGGGAGCTTTGTCACCAGGAGGGCTGCATCCAGGCGTTCGCCCTGTGTAAGGGCAGAGCCTCTGCTGCCTGCTGAAGGCTGAGCCTCCAGTGCTTTGGGGGGCTCAGGGCCCCCACCTTTTCCAGGGGCGATGAGCCCCAGGGGCCTCCTGGTGTGTGTCTGGCCTAGTAGTCTCAGCCAGCCTCCTGGGGTCCGGAAGCAGACTCCTCAGCCCTCCCCCTCACACCCAGCTTCCTGTGGTGCGAGGCCCCTCCCCTGGCCCTGCCCCCTGGAACTGGGGGAGAGAGTAGGCTCAGCACGCTGGGAGGCTTCCAGCCACGTCTTTAATGGACACGAGGTGGTGGCCGCGTGTCTGGGCAGCTCCCAGGTGCCGACGACAGCTGTGGTCAATACAAAGGCTATGATGCTACATCTAAGACACCCACAGAGACAGCTGGAGGAGAGGAGGCCCCGGCTAATAGTCTGGACGCCCGGTGGTCGGATCTCCGGAAGCCATCCCTGAAGTTTCGGCAGCTGCTAGGGCCAACGCCCTGTCCTGGTACAGGGGACCCTTTGGGGACAGGTGGGGCCTGGGCCTGGGTGGCAGTGACTTGGTGGGGAGGGAACAGCTTCACAAGCTGTCCTCCTGACCCTGGTCGGGCAGTCGCCCTCTTTCTGTTCAGGCATTGGTGCCCTGAGCTGTGTTTGCTGAATCCGGCAGTGAAATGCTGTCCAGTCCAGCCCCTGGCTGGGGGCCCCACGGCGGCAGGACCTGGGCCCCCAAAGCGGGGCTCTGGGGGAGGCGAGGCAAGATGGAGCGCCATTCCATCTGGGAAAGGGATAACTACAGGGCCTGGGGAGGGGTCACTTAGGAGAGGGAGGTGATGTTGGAGCGGCCGCCGGGGGGCGCCATGATCTTCTGAGCCGTGCGTCTGGCCACGTGGTCATCAGCTTGGGACCCTGGGAGGAGGGCAAGGTGTGGGCCAGGACGGGGTCCCCTTCACCCAGCAGAAAGGCTGGGCCACTGCAGCTCACCAAGTCCTCTTAGACGCACATGCACCAGCAGACTGGGGTTCAGTGTGGCCCTTGCCCCACCCCCACCCCGACACTCAGCCTTTGTGGGACCAGCACAGGCTGGGCTGGCTCTGCACCCAGACCCAACCCCCATAGCTCGTCAGATGAGCAAGATCCCCATGAGGACCTGCCCCAGGCCTGCGTCCCTCCAGATGGGAGATAAAAGGTACCCTCCCCAGGATGGACAGGCGGTCCCTCCCCAACACACACACTGGCTATAGCCCCTGGTGGACCACGCTCCTCCATCTTGGCCAGATTCCCTGGGGTCATCCCTCCTGTCACCCTGGGGGCCTGGGCGGGTGACCAGAGCAGGTGGCATAGAGCCGGTGACCAGGGTGGGTGGCATAGAGCAGATGACCTGGCAGGTGGCACAGGGATGACTGTGAGAGTCCATCTCCCCTCTCAGGAGGCATCTCATGCTACCCCTGGGCTCCAGGTGCCCAGCTCGCTGCCCACCTGCTGGCTGCCCTGCCTGTGGGCGCAGCTGATCCCACAGATGCTCCTAGGCCCCTCAGGCCCCGCCCACTCACCTGCAGGCCCCGCCCGGGGCCAGGCTCACCTGAGAGGCTGAAGCCAGACTGGTGCAGGTTGCGCACGGGTGGCAGGGAGATCTTGCCAGGGCAAGAGGTGCGCACAGGGGCACCGCTGGCCGCCTTGGCAGGCGCAACTGCCTCGTGAACTGGCCCGTCGTAGAGGCCCCGGGGCACCCCATGGATCTCTGCCAGCTGTGACACAGGGCAGCATGAGGGCGCTGGGCACAGGACGCTGCTCCACCCACCCTGGGCAGCTCACACCGTGCACACTGCCCACACCTACATCCCAGTTACATGGGCACACATTCCCACTCCCCACACCTGTGTACACACCTCCCTTATACACATTCACCTGCACACCTCCCCCACCAGTACACACACACACACAGATAACTCCCTCCTCAGCACTCCCTACACCTGTGGTCAGGGTCCGAGCAGGACAGACCCACAGGAATCACCTCTTTTGGAAGGAGACCCTCCATCGCACCCCCTCTAGTCTGTTTGAGGACCCTTCTCTCTGGTTCCATGGGGACCCCTTGTCTGCACAGGGACCTCTCTTTCAGATCAGTATGGAGGCCCCTCTCTCTCTGGTCTGTACGGGGATCCCCCTCTGTCCAGAGTCCATGGGGACCCCCTCTCTGCACGGGGACCCCAGATGCAGGCACTCACCCTGTTCCGAGCTTTTACCCTCTTGTAGACAAAGTCAGGGAAAGTCTTGCGGGGCACGAAGCGGCCAGCCCCAGGAGTGACCAACAGGTTGCCATCCTCTACCACCACCCGGCCCTGGCTGATGACCACCGTGGGCGCCCCCCGGCATTCGACACCTTCAAAAATGTTGTACTCCACGTTCTGGGGAGGAAAGGAGGCCTGCACCATGCCTCTCTGGCCCAGTCCTTCCCTGACCAGCTGCCAGGACACCCCAGTCCTCTTGCCAGGCAGCCACCAACTGCTGGCTCAGGAGCTGGCCTGTCTCAGGCCTCTGCCCTGTTCAGTGGGGCAGCACCTCCCAGGGCCACCCCGCCAGTGTCTTGCCTGGGGAGGGTGAGACCCCAGTAGGTGCTGTTACCAGGTGGTGGCTCTTGGCTGAGATGACCCTGGTCATCCTGGGGTTCCACAGAACCAGGTCCGCGTCTGAGCCCACAGCCACCCGGCCTTTCCGTGGGTAGAGGTTGAAGATCTTGGCAGCGTTTGTGCTGGTCACTGCCACAAACTGGTTCTCGTCCATCTTCCCCGAGGCCTGGGAAGCAAGGGACCACCTGAGGGCCAGGGGCCCCGGCCACTTCCCCACCCAGGCGCTGCCTGCATGTGGCCATACCGGGCTCTGCAGGCCCTGGGCTCTGCCATGGCACCCCCCCACCATGTGACAATGAGGGCGCTGCCAGAAGCCAGGCTGCCCTGGCTTAGGGGGACCCCCATAACCCACCATCCCTCACTCCAAGACCCCACCCAAGGCCCCTGTACCCACCACGCCTCGCTCCCAGACCACAGCCATGCGCTCCTCTACCCCATTGGTGCCCTCGGGGATCAGCGTGAAGTTGTCCTTGCCAACGGCCTTCTGGGCCGTGCTGAAGGTGCAGTGGGCACTGCCTGTCACCTGGAGGTCCCCGCTGAGGACATGCTGGGGTCAGCGGCAAGTCAGGGGCTTCACCCCCCCCTTCCTCCGGTGCAGCCCCCAGGGCTCAGAGGTGGCCCCACCAGCCATCAGGACTGGGCTGGACCAGTGCCCCGGAGTCTGGGGTCAGGGCTGAGACAGGAGGGTATGGTCAACAGTGAGGTGAATGAGGGGCTAGAGGGGCATGTCCTTGCATAAAATCCCATGGGGGACCCCAGGCCCAGCCCAGGCCACCCTCAGCAGAGCTGGAAGGTTTGTGGGTGCGTGGAGGTTGAGGCCCCGACCAGCGTGAGGCACTGTCACCTGGACAGCAGGGCGGTGAGGTGGTCCGAGGTGCTGGGGTCCGGGCTGATGGGGGGCGAGGTGACAAAAGCCGCGGCTTTGGCCCAGTTTTTGCTCCAGTAATGGGACCCGTCAGTGCCCAGGCTGGCTGTGATGGGCTCCCCAAACACAACAGCGCCTGTGGGAGGCAGTGAAAGCCAGGGTCCACCTGCACAGGCTACCACCTCCACCTGGCCTGGAGACCCCAGGGGAGTGGCCGGACACAGCCTTGGGGACCCCTGAGGCTCGCAGGGTCCACAGGCCAAGCAGGTGCTGGAGGGGGGAGCCCAGGCTCCCCAGGTGCGGGAGGCCCGCACTGTTTCTGGCTCAAGGGAGGGAGTGCTAGTTTCAAACTTTTCTGCAGAAAACGTATCCACTGGATGGGTGCTGCCACCCTCAGGACCCAGCCAGCCCGAGACACCTCAGCTGGGAAGGAGGTGGGGCGAGGGCGGGGCCCAGCCTGGGGCCTTCTAGGCTCACCAGCCCACCCCTCACCTAGGGCCCGCCCCTCCCAGCCTGAATATTGTGGGGGAAGGGGGAGACGACTTGGGAGAAATCTTTCTGTTTCCCACAGAATATGGCTCCACCCAACCCCAGCCCCACACCCCTAGCCTCCTGCCAACCATCCCCAGGTCTCAGACTGGGCTTCTTATTCTTAAACCTTCCCCACGGGAGACCACTTTGTGCTGCGGAATTTGCGAGGGAAGCCCTGGAACTCTTGTGGTCACAGCAGGCTCACGAACCTGACTGTGGTCAGGTTCCTCAGGACCCCCCCATTTCGTCCCATCGAGTCAATGGCGACCTGGTGGGCCCCAGAGCACTGCCCTGTGGGTTCCATTCCACACCGTTGGCCTTGTGGGCAGCAGCCCAGCGAGTGACCACTGCGGCCACCAGGGCTCCTCCACCACATAGGGCTGTGACCCAGTGTCAGAAGTTTTTCCTCCTTGGCCAGATGCTCCACTCTCAGCTCCAGGCTGGGGCCCCCCAGGACCCGAACTCCAGGGGCCTGCACTCCCCTCCCAGCTGCAGGCTGGGGCCCCTGGGTCGGGGCCTGCATCCTGCCCCCAGCTCCCAGCTCCAGGCTGGGGGCCCCAGGTCCCCCCCTCCCCCGTCCCTGCGGCACTCACCTCGTCGCTTGGCCTGGGCGACCACGTCGGCTGCGCCCTTGCTCATCACCTTGGTGACGTACAACGGGCAGTTGGCCTGCTTGGCGATGATGACCGCACGGTACGTGGCCTCGGCCTCCACCTGCAAGGTGGGGGGTGGGCTCAGGCTTTGAGAGGCCAAGGCTTCCTGCCACCTGGGTGGAGGGGAGACCTGGGCCCACCTCTGGGACCCCGGCTGTGGGTGACAGTGGAGCACAAGTGCGTGGGGGTTACGGGATTCACGAGGCCGAGGGGGAGCACAGTCCCTTGTGGGGAGGGGCAGGGCAGTGTCTGCGCCGGCCGGTCGTTACCTCCTCGGGGTGGCTGAGGACATGGCCCTCTGGCCCAGTGATGCTCAGCTCCAACATCCGCTTCTGCTCCTGCAGCACCAGGCCACGTTCAGCCCTGTAACCCCCAATCCCACCTACCACCCAGTCACAGACTCCCCACTCTGCCCTGTGCCCCCCAATCCCACCCACCACCC